GTCGCGCTCACGCGTCAGCTCTCGTCACTTCTCTTGAGGTGCTGTTCGTGTCACAGCTCCACGCCTATCACGTTGCTTGCCTCGCATACCGGAGTTTCTCGCGTCGTTTACCCCCTGCCCTATGCTCTCCTCGGCGCCCGGTGATCTCTACACGCCGCCATGATCCCAGTGAATTACTGGTGCCGCCCCTCCGAGCCGTCGCCGCTCAGTCCGCCCCTAGCTACCTAGTTCCCGTGACGTGGAACGCCTTACCTTCTGACCCAAGGGCCGCTGCGTCCTATAACTTATTCAAGCGTCTCTGTAAAGCCCACCTGCTACAGTCACAGTAGTTCGCTAAGTCATTTACCTTGTTACCAATGCCCACCGCCATTTACCGTTGTCATCGCACACTGTTGCTAATCTACTTCATTCTGTTTACGCAGCCCCGCTCGCAAATGTGTACCAATAAATCAAATCAAATCAAAACGCTACAGCAAGCCTGACCGGCGTCGCTCCATCTCACGGCGAATCGGCTGTTCACAAGGTGAATTCTCAACCGAAGAGGCGTTCGAGTTACAGGACTAAAATCAATCGGAAATCGGTGTTGCCGAATCGACCGTCTACTTCTCAGAAGAGCAACTCATCGCCAGCATGTTACCGCTGCGGCGATGCTTCTCATCTAGCAAACGTTTGTCGACACATTTCTACTGTTTGCGATGCCTGCGGCCTCGTTGGCCATCTACAATCAGCGTGCAGAAAGTCGCGATCGAGGCACCATTACTTCGAAGAACACCAACTTCATAGCATCAGTTCGAGGAACCCGATCTTCGCTTCCGTTTCAATCGCTAACAAAGACGTTTCGATGGAGGTGGATACAGGCAGTGAAATCTCTACCATGACGCTCTGCGAGTTCCGTCGTGTCCTGCCGCATGAACAGTTGAAGGAGATCGACTTGCACCTCAGCACAGCAACAGGCGAAAACTTCCAGCCTCACTCATACGCGGAAATACCCGTTTCGTATGGTGGTTGTGAGAAGAAACTCCGTTTGTATCTGATGGAGGACTCTTCATTCCCAACGTTGCTGGGCAGAGCATGGCTAAGAGAACTCCCGTTGGACATCAACTCCATGATTGCTCCAGTACCATCGGTGAAATGTCATCAACTTCAAGAATCATCCTACAAGAGCGCTGCTGAAACCCTACTCAAGAAATATCCGAACATCACCAAGCCTGGCATCGGACGCATCCCTAACGCGGAGGCAAAACTGTTGGGAATCCGTGAGGATCCTGAGCGTTGGCTCACTGAGAAGGTGCTCAGTCAGTAGGAGTCCACGGTCCAAGAGTCTAGAGTTGGTTCGGCACAGGGTTCAGATGATCTCCGAGGGGCGAGGTCTCGTAGGGAAGATGCTCTCAGGAATGAGGACGCAGGGTTTGCGTGTGACAGAAGAATCTGTGTCTGAGGTTTATTTCGGAGGTGCTTTTATACCATCAGAGCTCCATAGGCTCGTACAGAGGAAATTAGTTCCAGAAAATATAATGGTACAGAGTTAACGATGTTGTGACAGTAAACATGAATAATCAGAGTCTTGGCAACCAAGTTGGTGCAATTATCCTTATCATAAACTTCGAGAAGATTCTAGACAGTAAACAATGGAAAGTTATTGTCCTATAGAGGGCAAGTTTCCAACATTTTCTCCCTTACTGCGGAATGTTCGAAGAAGTGTTTGGGACTCTGAGTGCTGTACCTTGAATACATATATAAGC